TTCTTGTATGGACTTAAGTAGTCTCCGAGGCAGTGGTACAAGAGATTTGACAGTTACATGCTTGAGCTGGGCTACAGCAGAAGTCCATATGATTGTTGTGTGTATCACAACAAGGTGGAGGATGGTTCGATGATCTATCTTGTTCTGTAGGTGGATGATATGCTCATAGCTGCGAGGTCGAAGTCTGATATCCAGAAGTTAAAGGGGCTTCTCAGTGCTGAGTTTGAGATGGAGGTATTGGGAGCTGCCCAGAAGATCTTGGGTATGGAGATTTACAGGAACAAAAAGAAGAAGCTTTTCTTGTCACAAAAGAGCTACATCCAGAAGATACTGTTGAGGTTTGGCATGTCTTCAACAAAGTCCTTAAATACTCCTAATTATGCTTCAATTGTTCATCTATCTTCAGCTTATGCACCGCAGTCAGAGGCTGAGAAGGAGTACATGTTGAGAGTCCCATATGCTAGTGCAGTAGGTAGCTTGATGTACGCTATGGTATGCACTAGACCTGATCTTGCACATGTTGTTAGTGTTGTCAGCAACCTGGGAAGGAGCATTGGCAGGCTGTGAAGAGGATCTTCCGGCACCTTAAGGGTACACCTGATGTGGGGATTAGCTTCGGAAGTGATACAGAGTGCTTGGTGTCTGGGAATTCTGACTCGGACTATGCTGGACATGTTGACACGAGGAGATCGATGACCGGTTATGTATTCACTCTTGGGAGTTTTGTATTGAGCTGGAAGGCAACTTTGCAGTCGGCGGTGACATTGTCTACGACTGAGGCAGAGTATATGGCGCTGACAGAAGCTGCTAAGGAGAAAATATGGTTGAAGGGACTGGTTGGTGATTTGGGTTTACATCATGATCAGGCAGTGGTGTATTGCGACAATTTGAGTGCAATATGCTTGGCCAAGGATCAAGTCCACCATGAGAGGACTAAGCACATCGATGTAAGATATCATTTCTTGAGGACAGAGAAGATGATTAAGGTGAAGAAGGTTGGCACCACGGATAATCCTGCTGATATGTTCACGAAGTCGGTTCCACATGGCAAGTTCCAATACTGCTTGGACTTGCTGAATGTCTTGAGTGGGTGACTCCGCCCTACGGGGCATTGATGGCGAGAGAGAGAGAGAGAGAGAGAGAGAGAGAGAGAGAGAGTAGAGTACATCAGAGATTTTAGAGAAAGAGGATTCAAGTCAAGGTGGAGATTTGTTGATGTGACTTGAATCGGACTACCAGCCGCTATGACTGGTAGTCGGGGGTCTCGCTGCCCGGTTAGCGAGTGGGGTCCAGGGGCAATGCCCCGATGGGGGTACGGGCCGCGGGGGCAACGCCCCCAGCCCGCGTTGTATGGGCTCAATCTTATTTGGGTTCGGGTTATGGACCTGGTCTGTAACCGTTTCCTTTGCCATATTGGATTAGGTTTAAACCCACATGGAGAAGTACTATAAATACTTCTCATACTCCTCTATAATCTGTAATCTCCTCGATATAGTGAAACTGCCTCTCTCTCATCCGTGGACTAGCTAACACACATCATGTTAGTGAATGCACTCAAAAAAGTGAGTGCACCGAAGACATAACCATATATATATATATATATATATATATATATATATATATATATATATATATATATATATATGGTGGCTTCTATCGTACCTTGGGTAAAATCTAGGGTACGATATACCGTGAGTAAGAAGACGCTATCTAGACCTCGAATTAACCAGATTTCTTGGCATGATACTATACCCTAACCTATGATGAGCGAACCCTAGGTCTTAGTTTTCAAAATCATAGAGCCTAACCCCAAAGATTGTGCATGTAATTTCTTGCATATATTTCGACGAATCATGACCGTCGATTTTTGTTTCTAATTAAATTGATCTTAATGTATGAGATTTATAGAATTAAGACCTAGATTTTTATCTTTAAGGGTTTGGGAATAGTACTAGATGTCAAACTTTGGTCAATTCGAGGTCGAGATAGTGTCTTGCTCAAAGTATACCGTACCCTAGATTTTATCCAAGGTACGATAGAACCACCCATATATATATATATATATATATGGTGCCTTCTACGGTACCCCGGGTGAAATCCGGGGTACCGCATACCTTAAGTATGAAGACGCTATCTAGACCTCGAATTAGCAGAATTTTTGGGCATGATACTATACCCTAACCCTTAATGAGTGAACCCTAGGTCCTAATTATCTAAATCATAAACTATAAACCCTAAAATAGTGCATTGATTTTTTTGCCTATATTTGGACGAATCATAACCGTCGATTATTGTTTCTAGTTAAATTGATCTTGGGTATAATATTCAGAGAATTAAGACCTAGATTTTGATCTTTAAGGGTTAAAGTATAGTATCATGTTCGAAAGATCAATCAATTCAAGTTCTAGATATGGTTTTCTTACTCAAGGTATGCGGTACCCCGGATTTCACCCTGGGTACCGTAGAACTCCCCATATATATATATATATATGGTGGCTACTTCGGCGCACTCACTTTTTTTGGGTGCATTCAGTGCACCCACCTTTAACAGTGGTCATAATACATCAAATTTTGAAATTTAATGGGTAGCATTAGTCTCGTATGATGATATAACACAGAATCAAAACTAATCAACCCATTACCCGAGATTTTTCCAGAAATAGCACTGTTTAAAAAAAAAATTCCAAAAATAGCACCCAACTCCGAAAAATTCCAAAAATAGCACCATTTTTGTAAAACCGCAACCCGGAGGTGCGTTTTTCGATGAAAACGCCACCCGAGGGCGCGTTTTCCGATGAAAACCGCACTGGTAGGGAGCGGTTTTGCAAACCGCACCCCCAGGGTGCGATCTGCCTTTTTTTTTTCTTTTTTTTTTTGCAAAACCGCACCCCCAGGGTGCGATCTGCTTTTTTTTTTTTTTTTTTGAAAAATCCTAACTTAGGTGGAAACTTCAAACGAACGTATCTTTATGTTCGGGTATCCGATCGCCGCGATTTTTTTTTTGATTCCGCATAATTTTTCGAGATCTTGCAAGCCGCAAACTGCCAAAGGTGGTTTGGTCTCGCCTTCGAACCAAAAAATGTCGTTTGCTACCCCGAACGAGCCTTTTTTCGATTTCGTCAAACTTTGAACGACCATAACTTTGTGCTCCACAATCCGAAAATCATGATTTTTTTTTTGATTTTGCATAACTTTTTGAGGACTAAAATTTTTATCATAGACATAATTTCGGAATGTACTTGGATTCCTAAAAAGAAAGGTAAACTTATTCCCAAAACCCCGTATATCCAAAATAATTCATTTTTTGAAAATTCTCTCCTAGAAAAAATTGTAGTCCTCAAAAAGTTATGCAAACGACGTTTTTTCGGGACGAAGGCGGGACCAAACCGCCTTTGGCTGTTTGCGACTTGCAAGATCTCGAAAAATTATGCGGAATAAAAAAAAATATCGCGACGATCGGATACCCGAACATAAAGATACGTTCGTTTGAAGTTTCCACCTAAGTTAGGATTTTTCAAAAAAAAAAAAAAAAAAAACAGATCGCACCCTGGGGGTGCGGTTTGCAAAAAAAAAAAAAAAAAAAAGACAGATCGCACCCTGGGGGTGCGGTTTGCAAAACCGCTCCCTACCAGTGCGGTTTTCATCGAAAAACGCGCCCTCGGGTGGCGTTTTCATCGAAAAACGCACCTCCGGGTTGCGGTTTTACAAAAATGGTGCTATTTTTGGAATTTTTCGGAGTTGGGTGCTATTTTTGGAATTTTTTTTTTAAACAGTGCTATTTCTGGAAAAATCTCCCATTACCCTAACCTATTAACCTTCAATTTTGAATCTCAACCCAAAATCCCAAATTATAAACCCTAACCATAACCCTAAATTTCTAAACCCTCAATCATTCAAATTAAAGTGAATCTTGGAATGATTTTGTACAAATTCATGTGGTTCTTGTTCATCATACCACAAGGAATGATTGACATTGTTTTCACATGAATCGCCTGCTCAGAATGACGATTATGAGGCGGGTGCATTGAATGCACCCAAAAAAGTGAGTGCACCGAAGACATAACCATATATATATATATATATATATGGTGATTATTTCGGTGCACTCACAAAAATGAGTGCGTTCAATGCACCCAACTCAAAAACTAGTCTTAAGGTGTTGGATTTTGAATTTTAATTTGTAGAGTTAGTGTAATATGATGATATAACATATGATAACAACTAATTAGCGGATTATCCTAAGCCCTAGACCTCCAATTTTGAGTTCTATCCCTAAACCCCAAATTGTAAACCCTAACCCTAACCCTAAATCTCTAAACTCTAAATCCTTCAAATTAAAGTAAATCTTTAATGATTTTTTATGCAAATTCATGTGCGTTATTGTTCATCACATCATAAGTGATGATTGATATCATTTTGACATAAATCACATGTTTAAAATAACGGTTATGAAGCGAGTACACTGAATGTACCCAAAAAAGTGAGTGCACCGAATACGCCACCATATATATATATATATATATATATATATATATATATCTTCTATGGTACCCCGGGTGAAATCCAGGATACCGTATACCTTGAGTATGAAAACACTATCTAGACCTCGAATTAGCAGAATTTTTGGGCTTGATACTATACCCTAACCCTTAATGAGTGAACCCTAGGTCCTAATTATCTAAATCATAAACTATAAACCCTAAGATGAAGCATTCATCTTTTTGCCTATATTTGGACGAATAATAGCCATCGATTCTTGTTTCTAATTAAATTGATATTGGGGTATAAGATTTAGAGAACTAAGACCTAGATTTTGATCTTTAAGAGTTAGAGTATGACATCATGTCCAAAAGATCAATCAATTCAAGGTCTAGATAGCGTTTTCATACTCAATGTATGCGGTACCCCGGATTTCACCCTGGGTACCGTAGAACTCACCAGGAATGGTACTGTACTTGAATGCTTTGAGTTTTCTAACTTGTTGATTTTGAATGCAGCAGCAGGTTCCACATTAGAGAAGGCCAGGAATGGTACTGTACTTGAGGATTCAGATGCAAAGTCCGAGAATGAGGCTGAGGTAATAATTTCAGCACCTTTTCCTTTTCAGTTCTCACTTGCAGCAGCTAGCTAATAGTACAGCAGTGCAATAGAGAACAAGAAATGTTTATGATTTAAAATGGATAGGGTTTGGTGGTTTATGTATGTAAACAGGTGGTGCAAGTTACTGGAGGCAAAAGAGACTGATAGTCTTAAGCCTATAGGCTACATGGAGGCTAGCAGATGTGGGTGGTTGGGTGTTGCTGGGTGTTCTCAGTTCTGATTGTGGGTTTGGTGGTTTTCAACTTGCTGCTGTTGCTTGAAGATTGAAGAACATTGGAGCTTTTTTTTATGGTGGCTTTTTCAATTCAGAAACTTTCTTAATTCTTAGTTGAATTTGAACATTAAAGCTTTTGTGGGATTTTCCTTTTTTGTTGGGATTATTGTTCATCAGGATTTCCCTTCAGTTTATGATTTGATTTAAGCATTTTTCATGTGTTGCAACTTTCAAATGCATGTTGTCATATATAAACAGATCAGGGCGGATATTGCCCGATCCGTGCGGGGCAAAGAATGGGTCAGAATTCAATGACCCATCCCGGGGCACGGGGCAGAGCAGATCATTAGTTTAGGGGTCAGGGCAGGGCACGGATTCATCATGATCCGCCCCAAACCTGCCCCGATGCCATTCCTACTTCTTGCATGGCCTACTTCCAATTGTTTGGTGTCCCAATTGCTAGTAGAGACCTACAAGGAACAAAGCCCCTTTTCAGAGAACCGTGTCTGCGAGTTAAACCTTTCAAAACCCCTAATTCCCTCCGACGGCCCGTCTCCGCTGCTCGCCAACTCTTCTCTTCCTCACCTCCACAAGCTTTCGGATTCCATGAATTTGTTGTTGCTTTCAGCTCCATCTGGATATGGTGATCGCTCGAAATCTCTCCCTTGCGAAATCGAATCTTAAACCCCTCTTCTGCCTTTCTCGCTTCTCCCAGTCTCTCCAAGCCCATTTTCTCCTTCCATCTACATCACAACACCACCGTTTCGCCGACGGAAAGAACCCCGCAGTCTCTGCTTCTCCATTTTCTTCCTCGTACTCCTCTCATTACCCTTTCACTTCATCGCAGATTCTGCGTCAAACCTTCTGCCACAGATCCCAGTTATAAATCCAAAGGGTGCGCGGGTGGTACCCATTGCGCTAGGGTCGCAAGCCTCCGATTCTCTGAAAAGGGGTTTTGTAATCGCTTAATAGTAGCAAGAAGAGGTTTTACGCCGGATCCGTCATGTTCGTCGACCGGTTAGGACAGCTCCACCTCGCATCTTCTTCCCTCACCGATTTCACTCGACGGTGAGAAAGAGGGGTGAGATTAGTTCATTAGGTTTAGGGATTTAAAATGAATAGTTTTATTTTTTTATTTTTAATAGTAGTGATAATGAGGTGGTCAAGTTATTGATTTCAATTACGTTTGAATACTCTTCTAGAGTTTCAACTCATTCAATAACTGCTTATCTTTGAATACTCTTCTAGAGTTTAAAACCTATTTATACTTTCAATCTCAATTGGAAATTATCGTTTATAAATGTGTCGACACCCCAAAGATGGCAAAGAATTTGTCAACTCATTGTCATAAGAATTTTGGTACCTTCAACCAATGATTCTTTATCAGAACACTTGAAACAATCACTGTAAGGTATTCAAGGTAAATGCATTCGTCTTTCTCGACATATTCTTCCTTTCTTCATCGAGACTGTCATTTTTTCTATGCTTTTTCAATTTGATTTAGGAGGTTTATTGAGTTGAATAATGTTTCGTAGAACATTAACATATTTGGTTCGAGCAAACTAACTCCTTCAGAGAGTTTTATATTGATATCATCATCAAGCATGCTTTATAAGTGCACCTGTAATAACATTCACTGGATGCATATGTAACTTTCTCACACTGCCAAAAATCATATCCCACAAATAAGCGTGACTGCGTAAGTCTCCTCACTATCAATAGCAAATAATTTTACGAAGACCCTTATGACAATTTGAGCATGATATCTCTTAATCCCTCCCCCTTTGTCATGTCTTCGTAAAACATCGTGCGTGTTTTACTGGCATTACATGCACGTATGTGGGTATGTTTTGTAGGCTAGTTCTTAACTTCCTCACATGCATCGTTACAACTTGGCCAATCATTTGAATATATTGATCAATAGATCTAACATCATGATCCTCATGTTAATTATCATATTGCGTGCTACAATAGATAAACATTTATTGTCAATGTTGACTTCCTTTTGATTCCATTGAATCTCATCCAATATATAATTTTTTTTTATTTCTTTCATAATCTCGAAACAAATACATGTCGTTCTTCCATACCAATGTTATAATACTCGGAGATTCAAATAAGCTTGCAATATCCTCATCATAAAGACCATCTTTATTTTGAGCTCCTTTTATTTTTTTAGGACTTGTATTTCCTTGGAATCAATAGTTTCAACACATTATATATGTGTGTAACATATCCTTCGAGGATATAATTAATAGGAGCATTAGCAGCTTTTGTGACTTAGTCACTCCTTTGTGATCATTAATTACGCCTGTCAGTAGGCTTACCAAACTTGACAAATGAATTATCATTGAACTTCAAGTTCACATTACAAGTGTGAGGATCATAATATATTTCAATCAATTTTAGAATCAGATGCTTATTTTTCCCCATGATATTGGAAAGGTCGAAATAACGATTTCAACAAATATCACATAATAGATTTACTACTCTCATCAAAATAATGGAGACTTCTTGCTCAACATTAGTTTCAAATATCCTTTGAAGAACCCATCTTTGTAAATTGTGATGGAAAAATTTACAACATATAATCCATCATAAAGTCTTTTATGGGAATTTTAAAGTTCCTGACCAAAACCAATTTGTACAGGGTTTTAGTAGTGACAACTTCTTGGCAAGATGCCAAATCGATACTGCTACATGCAACTGCCATGTCTTCAATAAGTTGTTTCACAATCTTATGCACAAGCATGTGCTACATGACGTTTGATATTGAAACCAATAATATGAGATTTAAACCCACCAATAGTTATCGAAGTATTTTCTTCATATTGAACATTCATTCATATATGCCCATAAGTGAATCAATTGTGCAACCAATCTTGCAAACTTCAGGTTGCAAATGGAGTGACTATTTAGACGATGCATCGATTTAAAGCATAGAATAACGAAATGATCCATATGGTGCACTGATCCAATAATTCACAATCTATATACTAATCACTTCTTACTTTCATTGGTGATCTCATAACCAACTTTCCTTGAGAACAAGCGACACAAGAAAAATCCTTCATTGTGGATTTTTGCTAATATTCTCATCAACGATTTATATGAACTCTCGATCATACTTTGCATCAGAATTGACCCAGACTTTAGGTTTACGGTTCGTTTCATAACCTTTTGCTTCAGGAAGAAGGATTAACTGCGAGTAGTAATTCAGCACAATAGCATGTATTATGCAATACGTTAAGAATAAAGATAACAATAGGGGACGCGGTCTAAGTGGTACGGCTCTTTGACCTCAACTGGAATGTTGTAGGTTCGAGCCACATTGACGCCATATTTCGAACCCTAAAGATTCTTTTAATAAACCATATCACTATATATGGTAGATATGCTTCTGCCATTTTATGTGGGTTATGTTTTCCGACACATTGCCCTACCAAATATAACATAATATCTCAGTATTGTTGCCTGATAATTCTGATATGCTTCTGGCATTTTGTGGTAATGTCGACCGACATATTACCCTATCTCTTTTGTTTCTTTCCAAAATTTCAAACCAAAATCTTCTTAATATTATCCAAAATGTACAACATCAACATCCTTATCTTATCCCCCTTTTCGTCTACAAAACAAAAATCTTCCTCCGTTTCATTTTATTCTACTAAAACCGAAAAACTCAAACATCATCTCTCAATTCCATCATTCTTCTTCCCTTCTTGGGAAATCTTCTCGTCATAAGTCACTTTAGTGATCTTATCGAGTTCGAGTGAGCAATGAGTGAAGAAATGTCTCCCAAAGAGATCATAGATGGATTGATTTTCTTCTTCTTTGTAGCAATTCTCTTTTTAATTGGAGGCTCTTTTCAAATGGAAGATCATGATCGAAAACGTTTTCTCGAGGAACTAAAGCGTCAGGATCGTAAGCATGATTAGATTTCTCTTGTTTGATCCATGTTTGGTAGTATGAAAATGAGACTTAGATCTCTTATCATGTATGATGTAAGAATAATATGAATAAAATGAAGTTTAAGTACCTCTTTTTTTTATCAAAAAGTAAACTTTTACTTCCGAAAAGTTTGTGGTATATACTATATACTATATTCATCATCATGTTGGATTCAAGTCATAAATTAATCATTAACTTCATTGGATCGTCTTATGAGTAATACTCCATAAATCATTATATCAAATTGGCATATAATCAAATACGTCGGATCCCACTTTGGGTAAGCCTTTAAACGCTTTGCCATAAAAATCTTCAGGATATAATCACTTTATTTTAAATGATTCTTGATCAAACCCCTAAAATGATTCAACGTACAACTGGTACGATATACATATTGCCAATATCTTTATCCCTTTTAATAAATCATCGATTAATCCGATGAACTATTTTAGGTACAACTGGTACGCAGACGTTCTTTGTCCCTTTTAATAACCAACAAGTTAACGTTTCACTTCTGGTGAATGCTATTATGATTGTTATTCTATAACCATTTTAAATATAGACTTTTACCTTCGTTTTTCTTCACATTCACTTCTGGGAATGGAATCACATCAATCTCATATGTAACTTGATCATAATATTTTATTCTTCTAGAACACATATAGCTTTCGATAATTATCGATTTCTTTTCCTTGCTACTTCCGGAGCATAGTAAACAATTGTAGTAACAATAAAAATAACAATATGTACTATGGTCACATAATAAATCAAAAACCATAAATCACATATTGCAATTATACAAGGGGAGTTCTACGGTACCCAGGGTGAAATGCGTTTTCATACTCGAGGTATGCGATATCCCGGATTTCACCCGGGATACCGTAGAAGGCACCATTATACAAATATAGTACAAACATAAGTGTGGTTAACGAATATACACAACAATATAAATATATGCATATAGATACATATGTATTATTGTACCATCTGCAATTCACTTTTAAATATTATATGTATTGCCATGTGGGTGTTGTTATTACTACATGTCATGTTCCATAAATGAAAGAATGCATAATTCTAATGCATCCACTTATATTTCCTTTTTATGGATTTAAGAAAAATAACAAACTCGTGGCTTGTTGGTTGTGGCAGAGAGTAGCACTAGTTATTAAGGAAAATGAGAGGTATGGCCTATCATTATGAGAGGTAATAAATATGGGGACTCAATCCAATTATCTTGTTTAGATTTTTTTTTTGTGAAAAACACAACGTAGAGGGGCGCTCTAACCATTAACCATTAATAGACCGTGGGGTTTGAACCCCAACCGAGTCAAACATAAGCCAGTATCTTTGGTGCTGTTCCGCTATCTTCTTGCTTTTTGATCTTGACGATATGGATGGGCTCTTCATTTTGTCCTCTTCGATGGGCTGAACACTGATGACGTGAATTGTGGTCCCATTGGGGCCGGAGATAGTGGTAATATTTTGAGTTTCGTCGGATACTAAAGTGGACGGCATTGGGTTTGGGGAAGAGGCTGAACTGTCTTTGTTGTTGGCTGGGTTATTTTTGGGCTGATGGAGTGCGTTTATAAATGGACTTGACGTTGTTGCCTTGTGTGGACTTGGGCCTAAGATGCCCTCGACGTTCAAAGTTGCAGGTGTGGTTATGCTGGTGTCTTCCCCTTTACCTTTAGTCTGTCTGTTAGGCTTCCCAAACTTGTCCACATGTGCTGCCGCTTTGAACCCAATTTGATTCCGTTGAATAATGCTTTCTCCCGTTGGTAGTTGATGCTTCAAAGTTACTGTCGGTATGGTTGCTTTGATTGAGGCATGGGCTCGTGAGTGGATGCCCATACCCTCCATAAATTGTTGTTGGGCGGTCGTGGTCGGTGGGTGACGGCGTTGAGATCCATCTCCACCAGGCGGGATTGGGCGGTCGGCAGAGTTTCCGATCGTCGTCGTCCGGTTTTCTTTGGTCGATTGGTTCTTCATAGGGGTAGCCGGTTGGGCATTTCTATTGTATCTTCTATTCCTTCGTTGAACGACCATCCACGGCCCGAAAGCTTCTTCCGTCCTGACTGTTTCAGTAGAGGTGTGTGTCTCTGCTGCGGGAGCTTGTTGCAGTGATGGCGGCGTGAGAAGAGCGGTGGTGGATAGTGCTGCAGTAGAGTGGACATTAGCCGGCGGTTGGTTGTCGGCACATTCCTCTTGCACATGGCCAATTCGACCGCATGAGAAACATACTTGAGGTAGGTTTTCGTACTCGATCAATTGCACAGCACCATCAAGGTAAAAATCTGGGGTAAGTGGCTGAGAAACATCAAGCTCAATTGCAATTCGGGCGAATTTACCTCGTTGAGCTGTTTGGGTATTGTAGTTGATCCGAATAAGTTTGCCGAGCATGTTGCCAATTGCGGTTAGGATACGAGTATGGTAGTATTGAATGGGCATTGCAGGGAAGCGAACCCATACCACCAGCGATGGAGGTAGCTTCTCAGTGATGCGGAAAGAAGAAGTCCATTTTCTTACCACCAAGTAGTGATCTGAGATAGTCCATGGACCTCCGGTTAAGGCGCGACAGTAATCAGATTCGAGAGAGAATTTCACCATGAAGTATCCTTGCTCCAAGTCCACCACTCGCATAGTTCCAGTCGGCTTCCATAAGAACTTGAGGCTAGAGCAGAGATGTGAATATCCCACTCGACGGCCCAACAAGCTTACCACGATCGTTTGAGTCCAGGGAGAACAGATTTTGTTAGAAACGGAACAACAACAAGATCGAGGATACCGAATCTGGAGCTGAGTCGAGGACTCGGTCGCTCTCTTTAAGACGTTCGCGGCACTGCCCTCGATGCGCACGACAGACTATCAACCGGTCGTCTCCAGGATAAAACAGCTCCTCTGTGTACTCGCGGTTTTGTGCGAAAACCGGAGCTTTCTGAACACTCTCTCTATTGTGTTTATGCTCGTTGTGGTGTGTTTAGAGGGGTTGGGGAGGCGGCTATTTATAGGAGCCGAACCCCTAGGAATATACCCTCTTGCTTGGGGAATAAGTCGGATTAATTAAGGAAGATAATTACTTCCTTAATTAAAACCGTCGGTTAGGATAAATCCTGCGGAGATTATCCTTCGAATATTCCTTTTCAATCGATTATCCCTTGGAATATTCCTCTGAATAACCGATTAATAATTAATTATTAAATAATTAATTTCGTTCGGAATTTCTCCAAAAATATGTATATATTCTCAAGTGATCCATCCATCCATCCTCCCTCTCCCACAAAAGTGGGTCACCCCAAGGGGCATGCCCTTAGGAGAGAGGCTCCTATCTTTATACTCATTTCACCAAGTAAAACTACCAATGTGGTAGTTTTTCCACTTGAGACTCTATAGCTTTCAAAGCTATTCATGCACATTTCCAACAATCCCCCACTTGAATAGTTTTGAAACTATCTCTGAGCATCAACAGTTCCATAAGATCGGGCATAAGCTAAGGTATCGCGAAGATTTGAACCTTAGCGTAGTGGTTACACTTCCGATTTCATAAGGGTGACTCGTAGTCTTGAACCCTATCTCAGACAGTGTAGCACACCGGATCTTTTCATTGAGTTGTGTTCTCTTCTTAGCCCGTGCGTTTATGGCCTTGCACGTGATCCTGGTTTAGTGAACGCTCTAGCAACTTTGTGCCTCTCAAAGTTCCATAGGGAGCGGCCCCACTCCCACATTCATATAGGTGAGTCTATCAGGAGTACCCCCAAAGTAAAGTACTCCACCCCACATAGGGTATAGATCTCATTAAGAGTTATTAACTCAACCTCCATTGCTTTGGGATTCATGCTTCATTATGCATGAACTTTTCGCATACTACTCATGACTTGTTATTACCCATTGAACCCATTTCTTGGGATCTCCAGTCTATTGGGTCGGGTTACCATCACTTGTAGTCCATGGTTCGGTAGGCATAAGTCTCATACCCTTGGCGGTATTCTGGACTTTCTCTCTAGGTAATCCTTTCGTCAAAGGATCAGCTAGATTCTGTTCGGATCTTATATGATCCACCCTCACTGCTCCTATCGTTAGGAGTTCTCTAACAGTACTGTGCTTACGACGAATCTGTCGTTTCTTTCCGTTATAGAACCGGTTCTCAACTTTAGCGATAGCTGCGGTACTATCACAATGTATCAATACCGGAGGGACCGGGCTTTCCCATAGGGGAATCTCTGACAACAATCCTCTCAACCAACTTGCTTCTTCACTAGCCGTTGCTAGTGCTATCATCTCTGATTCCATAGTTGATTGAGCTAGGATTGTTTGTTTCTTTGACTTCCAAGACACAGCTCCACCAGCGATGTTAAAAACATATCCGCTGGTTGCCTTGGAGTCATCTGATAGGGTATTCCAATCCGCATCACTATACCCTTCTAGTACAGCGGGAAACCTTTGATAGTGTATACCAAGGTTTGCTGTTCTCTTGAGGTATCTCATGACCCTCTCTATAGCATTCCAATGCTCTCTACTAGGACAGCTGTTAAACCTGCCAAGCAATCCCACGACATATGCAATGTCTGGTCGAGTGTAATCCGCAGCATAACGGAGACTGCCAATGATGCTAGCATATTCTGTTTGTCTTACACTGTCTCCAGTGTTCTTGAATAGCTTTACACTAGCATCATACGGAGTACACGCAGGTTTACAGTCGAAATAGTTATACTTCTTCAAGATCTTCTCTATGTAACTAGATTGATCTAGAGAATAACCATTTGCTGTTCTAGTTATCTGGATTCCAAGCATAAACTTTGCTTCTCCCAGATCTTTCACCTCAAAGCTCTCTTTTAACATGGCTTTCGCTTCATTGACCACGTGAATATTTGTACCAAATATCAACATGTCATCTACATACAAACATATGATAGTGCAAGTGTTATTCTCTGTCTTGCAGTAAATACACTTGTCACTTTCATTCACCTTAAAGCCATGTGAGAGAACGAGAGTGTCAAACTTCTCATGCCACTGTTTTGGAGCCTGTTTCAAACCATATAATGATTTGTCCAACTTACAGACTTTCGAGGCATGTTCAGGGATAACAAACCCTTCTGGTTGTTCCATATAGATTTCTTCATCTAGATCACCGTTCAAAAAAGCAGTCTTAACATCCATTTGGTGTACCACGAGATTGTTCAAGGCAGCAAGAGCAATCATGACACGAATGGATGTTATTCTAGATACTGGTGAATAGGTGTCGAAGAAATCTATATTCTCTCTCTGCCTGTAGCCCTTGACTACTAGGCGAGCTCGGAACCTTTCGATTGCACCATCAGGTTTCCGTTTCGTTTTTAGAACCCATTTATTACCTAAGACTTTGCAGCCAGGAGGTAAGTCTGTTAGATGCCAAGTCTTATTAGCCTCTAACGATTCCATTTCATCTATAACGGCCTCATTCCAAAAGTCTGCATCTATGGAAGTTAGTGCTTCCTGCAAACTTTTTGGATCCTCTAGGGTGTATACTGTAGTAAAGTCATCACCAAAATCTTTAGAGATTCTAGCTCTTTTACTTCTTCTGAGTTCATCCTCAGATCCAACACCCCCACTAGTTCCGTTATCTCTAATAGCGGGTAGTACATTACCCCCACTATTTCTCGTTTTAAATGGAAATCGTGTCTCAAAGAAATCAGCATCAATGGATTCTATTACAGTACGAGCATTCAAATCATAGAATCTATATGCCTTACTATTGGCCGCATAGCCAACGAAGACACATTCATATGCTCGACTAGCCAACTTAACCCTCTTAGGATCAGGAATTCTTACGTAGGCCAAACAGCCCCACGTTCTTAAATAGGACAGATTAGGTGGCTTATTCTTCAAGATCTCATAGGGTGATTCTTTTCTATTTGTTTTTGGAAGACGATTTAGCACATAGCAAACCGTCAACAAAATATCACCCCACCAAGAAGAAGCAGCTCCAGAATTGAGCATAATAGCCACAACTAATTCTGTAAACGTCCTATTTTTCCGCTCAGCTTTACCATTCATTTCTGGTGAATATGGTGCCGTGGTTTCATGAATGATACCATGTGAGCTATAGAATTCCTTGAAGAGATTAGAGTCATACTCTGATCCTCTATCGCTCCTAAGTCTTTTATCTTTCGATTGCACTGATTTTCGAATTCAACCACAAATACCTTGAACATGTCAAGGGCTTCACTTTTGTTTTTCATCAAATACACAAAGCAATAATCAGAGCAATCATCTATGAAAGTGATAAAGTATCTCTTGCCAGACCTAGTTAACGTCCCATCTAGTTCACAAATATCAGAATGAATCAGATCTAAGGGTTCTGATTCTCTACTCACAGATTTATGGGGCGTTTTCGTTATTTTAGCTTGGCTACAGAAATCACATTTATCAAATTCATTCATTGAGAGTTTAGGGATATGTCCTAGCTTGCTTAAATTCTTCACAATTCGTGTGTTCACATGACAAAGACGAGCATGCCAAACATTCAAATCACACACCATGTAAACTGAAGAATTCATCTTATTAATTTCGACATTCAACTTGAACATCCCATTACATGCATATCTCTTTCCCACAAAACTCCCATTCTTAGTAAGAGTATACAAGTCTGCCCCAATAGATTGATTAAACCCAGCCTTATTAAGAAGATATCCCGAAACAAGATTCTTCCTTATCTCTGGAGTGTGCAACACATCCTTAAGCACCATCTTCTTCCCAGAGGTGAAGTTCAGCTCCACTTCACCAGAACCAGCAACCATAGTGGTGTGAGTAGTCCCCAACAACACTTTCTTGTCAGCAGGTGCTTCTTCATATGTTTTAAACATAGCACGATTGTTGCATACATGCTTCGATGCACCTGTATCCAGCCACCATCCTTCTGAGTCACCAGTGAGGTTAACTTCAGCGATCATCTCTGTGATCATGGCTACCAAATCCTCTTCTGTCAAGTTAACCCTGGCCGCAGCGGCGGGGTTATGCTTGTTCCTGCACTTTTTTGCCATATGACCCGGTTTTCCGCAGTTAAAGCAGATAAACGGTGGGTCATTCTTAGAGGTTTGGGCCATGACCCTTTGGTTACCTCGAGAGGCACCATTCTGGTGGGGGCGGACCTGCTGGTTCTTACCCTTAAACCCTTTCTGGTTAGGTTTAAGAGCTCTAGGGGTGAGTCGTTTAGCAGTGACGACCATCACCTCTTCTTTCATATCCTGCTTGCGGGACTCTTCCTCAATCCTTAGGCGAGTAATCAAACTTTCCAGTGAAAATTCTTTGGTTTTATGTCTAAGCATATTCTTAAAATCTTTCCACGAAGGGGGCAGCTTATCAATAATGCAAGCAACTTGAAATTGATCGTCCAGAGGCATACCTTCAGAGACGATCTCGTGAGCTATTTTCTGAAGTTCGTGGGACTGAACTTCGACAGACTTGTCATCCACCATCTGGTAGCGCAGGTAGCGGCTGACAACATACTTCTTAGCTCCAGCCTCCTCCGTGTCGTACTTCTTTTGGAGCGCATCCCAGACCATCATTGCGGTGTTCTTGCTGTCCGCATAGTAGTCATAGAGGTCGTCTGCCAGGCCGTTGAGGATGTAGCCCTTGCATAGGAAGTCATGCTCCCTTTCCTTAGC